TGGGCTAGTGGTGCTGTGGTGACACGTTGGATCTTGTCTACTACTAGTAGTAGTACTACTACTTCTTACGTACTGGGGGTTCGAACTCTCCTTGGGTCGGAGCTGACGTCGTGGAGTGGCTTTATATACTAGTACTTACTCCTCTTGCGGCGTTGGCAAATACGCTACTGAACCCCAGTGTTGCACATCCGATCTATTCTATGTGCTACTGTTGTACTATGAGTGATTCGATCTGAGTGGATCTCTGTTTGGCTTCGTCGACGGACCCCGAACGAACCCACTAGCTAGCGTGAGCTAGTACATACTATCTACTTCTTGTCTCTTCACAATGGGTATCCCACGACCACAGGAGCATTGGGTGGATGCTCCCCAGACGAATTCAACCAAACCATCGCCATTTCTCAATTTGCCTCTGGAGCTTCGTCTCATGATCTACGAATATGCACTGGTCGTTCCAAACGAATTCACGGATCGTCCGATGATCGTGATCAACGACCGCGGGAACGTCTTCACTGCCCGCGGCCGATACCGAGCTCTCTCGATGTGCCCCAGCTGGGTGGGTGAGAACGGTCGAGTTCGCAGCTTACTTTCCGTGAACCGGCAAATCCACGATGAGGTGGAGGATTTCGTGTATTCGCAGAACACCCTCTTCTTCCTGAACTCGTTCAATCTTGACCGTTTGGGCACCTTCCTCGACACCATCAGTCCCACGGCGCGCCAGCACATTCGCAGCGTCGGGTTTGAGATTTTCTTCTTTGTCCACTCGCAAACAGGCGTGCCGAAGCGGACCTTGAAGGAGTATAAAGCAGCCGCTCGCATGTTGATGGAAATGTTGCCGAACTGGACAAGTACCATGTTTTACTTAGATCCTCGCTTCTACTTTCCTTCTGCTGCAGTAGGGAATCTGGAATCGTCTGCGCGGGGTATCTGGTATCTGGCGACGATATTTGGAGCCTTGCACAAGGATCTCCATTTCTTTCCACTACCGTCGATGCATCGACATGTTATGGACGATGCAAAGAAGTCGCTTCAGGCTGAGACGCAGGCGTCACAGACGAAGCTCTCTATCGCATAGGAACCGGGTGTTATGAATTTTTTGGTCAGGATTATCTCCTCTTATTCCTATTTGTCTACATTAGTAATACTTTGTCTCACTTGTCCTGCCATTTACTTTTTCCGACTGGGGGGGCGGTTTCCTCCTCCTTCCGATCAGATACCCACTGGGACTATTATCTGCAGGATGACGTTTAGGGAGATCGGTGCGAAGAGAGTTTAATATGCGCACACACTGCGCAGTAGACTGTCTTAGTCTTGAGGTACTCCACTCTTTGATTGCCAATCATCTCGGAATGTCACGTTGGAGGTTTGGGGGTGGGGGGATGGGCATGAGCACGGAGAATGGGTGTTTTGGTCGCAAACAGGCGGGAAGCGATAGGTTTTGCATTCTTGGAAGGGTTTTCTTCGTTTAGGTTTGTGTCTTCAAGCGTCATGTTTCCTACTATGGATAGAGCTATTTGAATCAGCGTCATTTCTGGTCATTTTCTTATTCCTGCAAGCTAGGAAATGTAGCATGATCATAGTTGGTAGATGCATGGGGGACTTGCAGCGGGCAGCAGCAACCGTTGCCGCCCGCACGGTTAGTGTAGTGGGTTAGCTTCAGATCGGTCCGTCTGCTGGACGTACCAGATGATGGGGATTCATTGACCCGCCTGGACCATGAAATCATAGCCTAGAAGGAGGGGGAAGACGAAGAAGAAGAGGAAGAAGAGGACCTGACTACTTGGTGTGAAGGCTGGGGGAATGAAGCAGAAATGAGTCGAATATGGAGATGAAACCCCAGGGAAAGAAAGAGTGACTGTTGCTTCTGTTGAGCATCCAAGCTAATAACGTCATGGTCTGCCTCGTGATCGTCGGCCTCAAGTTCCTTTTGGTGGTTGAAGAGAAGCAGCCAAATTACATTTCAATCCCACGCTTCTTCTTCGTCTTGATTGCCATTCTTCTTCCTCTTTTTTTTTTTTCCCTCTTATGTTCCCTTTCTTCTGTTCCCTCCTGTTTTGTTTCCCTACCCTGGTTTCCTTCCCTGTCTGGTCCTGGAAGATATCAGCCTGCTATTAAACCCCCCACGTCTGATATCGAACCAGTGAGCACTTTGATCTCCTGGTATATCGAGTAATAAGTGTTAGTAGTAAGTAAGTAGTAGTATCCTTTCCATTCATTCCATTTTCCTTTTTGGCCCTCCCCGCATTTGGGTGGATCTTCTTCCTATCCTGTCATCAATTCTCACCTCAGTCGGTTTGAGAGAAGATTGGCATAATGATTAATCTCTTCGTCCTGCAGGCTGTTGCTCTGCTCATAGGCTCTCCCGCCGCCTGATAAATGCTGTGTGCCTTTCACGCTGCAGTCTGCAGTCAAGCGCATCGTCCACTTGTCCATCCTCTTGTGGTCGCAGGCTGCTACCAGCAACAACGTCTTTGGTCCACGACGCACGAAGCTGCTCGCCCTGCGGATTGAAACTCTGCTTCAGGCACCGGTGGCTTATCAACGCTCGATTGCCCACTCCGGACAACTAAGTAGCTAAGCTCCCCCACCGTTCCCCATCTCATTTGCCACTGGTAGGTTACCCGGTCGGTGTGGTTCCCCGGTTCTTACTTGTCCCTCTTTCAGTCCCTCTACTCTCCTACCGCTGTTTAAATGACATTCAGTCGCTCCACGCGCGATCATCACTGCGATGCTGCTGTATCTAGCTCGGCTGATGTTTTAGCTAGTACCGAACTAAATTCATTCACGTTGTGACTATTTCGCCAATTGTTCGCTCCTTTCGCTTTCCCCTTACCCCTCTCTTTCTCTTTTTTCTCTCTCTCTCATTCTCGCCTCTTTATGAAGGGAATCCACCCGACCCAAACTGTCCCGGGAGTGTCTCAGCAACTCCAATAGTCTCAAAATGAAGCCAGCAACCGCTACAAAGTCCCCCAATGGTCGTGGGAGCCTCTACAAGGAGGTTCGCTTTTCGCCTACACCAACTCCCGTCCGTCGAACACAGTCAGTACCAGACACCCATCTCGACTCGAGGCCAAACTATACTGGCGGCCCAGATATAGAAGCAACCAGTTATTCAGTTGTAAGCGCCGAGTACCTGAGACAAGTACGGTCGCTCCTCGATCGCCAGCGGGCAAACTTCGAGCATGAGAGGAAGCTATTCAACGAGGAACGACACTTATGGGAGAATGAGCGTGCGCTACTAAACCAGAGGATCTCTGAATTAGAGTCGCTGCTCAAGGGTAGGGGATCCACAGGGACCGCCGCTACTAGTACAGCCGCGCTCCCGACCGGCACTTTTCAACATTATGCATCATCATCTGCATTTCACAGCCAGTTCAGCCACCCATTTTCGGCAGAACATACTGATTCTTCTCACCCGACAAGTACCCAAGTGTGGGAAGGCTCTAGCCCTGGAAGCAAACCCACGAGGGTATTCCCTAACGCGGAGAAGACAGACTTCTCAGGTCTCCTATTTCCGGAGCAAGGAGGCAATCCATCGGTCTCTGCGCCATCCTTGGACGCTGCCCTTTCACCAAAGTCCCATGCGACTGACTTGACTTCAAGCGCATGCGTGCCTGTCCCAATTGAGAGGCTTGATAGCAAACTTGACGGGATCACGCTCAAGTCCTCAGCTTTGCCGCCAGAAATTGTCGCTCGTGTGATTACGCCACCATCGCCACCATCGCTCGAGGGCTCTCCATCACTTTCTTCCAGACCCTCTGCTGAGCACCGCAACAGCCTCAAACTGAAACTGTCTGAACTTGGCCCGCCAGAGTTTAACCTGACCAGGAACGCCGGTCACACACCCATGGCTAGGATCGATCGGGACGTCGACACGGAGCAGCCGTCACCCCAGGAGACCGCGAACGAGGAGGAACCCCTCGCTTCGGAAGCGCCTCGGCAACCTGCAGAAAACTCCGACTCGTATTTTGGGGATTTGGCGGATGACCCTGCCCTGAAGGGGCCACTTACCTTGCTGAATGAGGAAGAGCATGATAGTGAGTTTCTGAAGGAGCTTGATCAGAAGCTTCTGGACCAGGTCAAGCAGGCCCTTGGCTATCCCCGAAGCACTGATCAGAAACAGGCTGAAGTCGAGCCCCCCAGTCAGGGTGATGAGCCCGAATTAAGGTTCAAGAATACGACGAACTTTGGTACGGCTTTTGGGAATTCGGACTGTGGGAAGGTGTAGGGTAGAAGGGAGGGATTATCGTGTGGTCGCAGATATTTTGTTGTGGATGTTAACCTCAATAACCTCATAGCCACATTTGGACTATGGTTACGATGGACCCCAGATTACGGGATGGGCCATTATCTTTTTGGATGGATACCATGACTGACGAATATGACGGAACTTATCTTTTTGCATATGCATCGGACACTTATGTGTAAATATTAAAGCTACGGGAGTCTTTCTGAGAACAGGTGTTTTCTTTCATTTTGGTTCTTTGCAGTATTGTGTACATCTGGTCGAACACGCTCTGCTCTCCTTGCGTCCGCCCCCGACCCGGTCAAGCCCCCATCCCTCCCTATCTTATCATCCCAGTTCCCTTTCAACCTCGACACTGCTTTAATAACTGCTACAGGGATGTCACCCTTCGGAGGGGCTATCTCCTGGAGAGTGGCTAGGTCCTCTTCGCCATGAGGTCACCGTGACTATCGGCGCCATTGTCTCGTGGGCCTTGCATGGCCCTTCGGCCGGCCCTATGCTGCGGGATAATGTCCTAGATAGGGTCTTGGAACCCTTGTATACCGCAATGGACGGAGTGTCTGTCTTTCGGTATAAGAAGGCCAAAATCTCATGCTGACATTCTTTTCATCAGAGCATTCATCCGCTGCAGATTCCAGCATTCATTCTTTCACAGCTCATTCCAGCCCTGTCTGTCTCTAACTTGGTTATTCGCTCCTTCAACTCCCATAGTTTCCTTCTCTTGATAATTACGTCACATTCTTTTCCTTCTACAATGTACAACCTCAAGAGCCTTCCGGCACTGCTATGCCTCGTGCTGGCTGTCACTCCCGTCCTGTCTGCACCTGTCGCTTCTGGAGTATGTTAGACCTCAATCTTGCATTCAAGTTCAAACATCAGCGAAGCTAACACATACTGCAGGATGGAGCCGTTGTGCGAAGGCAGAGCCACCATTTCAATACCAACACCCAGTCCGGCTCTAACATGGGATTCTCTATCCCTGATGGTCCATCCTACAACTCTGGCCAATTCGCCTCCAACGCTTATCGTGAAGACCGTGGGGGCGATGATGATGATGAGGGCTCAAGCGAGTCCAGCAACACCAACGCAGGGAACTCGATGAATATCGGCATCCCGGGTGGTCCCAGCGTCAACTTGGGCAACTACTTCAGTAACAACTATGAGGAATCTGAAGAGCCACGGCGAAAGCCCTCGACTACTTCCACTACCACTATTCCAGAGTCTACAACGGCCCCTCCACCTCCGCCAGTCAACCCTCCTATTGAGACTTCTGTTCCTGCCCCTCCTGCCCCTCCTACAACTACCACCACTACCCAGCCCCCTCCTCCTCCCCCTACAACCACTGCTCCCCCTGCTCCTCCTACCACTACTGCTCCTCCTGCTCCTCCAACCACTACTCCACCAGCTCCTCCTACAACTACTGCTCCTCCTGCTCCTCCAACCACTACTCCCCCAGCTGCTCCCCCTACCACTGCTCCTCCAGCACCCCCAGCTCCGTCTACCCCCTCCGAGCCGGCTCCTCCTGCTGAGACCGAAGAACCTGAAGAGCCAGTGCAAGAATGCCCAGCACCAGAGCCAGAGCCACAGCCTGAGCCTGAGCAATCTCCTGAGCCTCCAGCTGAACATGAACCTTCCCCTGAACCGGAATCATCTCCTGCCCCCGAGCCTACCCCTGCACCTCAGCCCAACCCTACACCAAGCCCTCAACCAGAGCCCCAGCCAGAGCCCCAACCTGAGCCCCAACCTGAGCCCCAACCTGACCACGAGCCTGCATCCGAGCCTGCATCCGAGCCCAGAATCATACCCACTCCTTCCCCAGCTGCTCCAGCATTGCCTGCATACACCTGTCAATGCCCTGCTTGAGCTTGACATACGTTTCCCATCATCCCCTTCACTTTCTTTGCCTCTATCTTATCCATAACTCTCATTCATGAATTTCCCTTCCCCTGCATCTGCCCCTGCCCCATCATCCCCCCAAGTTTCCTTTTGTCACTCACCATCATTCCCTACCCCTTCCCTTCCCCCAAATCCCATGTTTTTATCTTTCCCTTCGATATACAAATTCTTTCCTAGAGTGGGTCTAGTTTAACTGGAAACACTATTGTGTCTATTGCTTGTTGATTTCGTCTGGATGGTTTTTTTTTTTTTCTTTGCCCCCTGTTCATTCCCTCTCATTCATCTTCTCTTCTTGTTTCTTTCCTAAATCACTGGGTGGTTAGCATATGGACCTTGTAATGTTCTTTGGGTTGTATTAGTACTACTATTTTTATTCACAGTTGATTTTCTAATTATCATGGATTCTGAGTGTAATAGGAATACATAGAAAAGAAAATAATAAGAATATCTTGCATTAATGTCTCGTGATATCATATTCATGTCTCATAATAAACATCGATAATTGTTTCCTAGCGCCAGTGCATGGGGACCTCGGGGGAGGGGAGGAGGAGAGTTATTGCATGGCCACCAACAGAGCAGGATAATAGACAACGAAAGCAGAATCAGAAAGGCATCAAGCTCATGATCCCGTATTAAGAAAACCCCGAAACCAACGACAACAGAACAGAACAAAACAATGAAGAAAAGCAACCCAATAACGGAAGAAAAGGGAGAAAGAGGGAGGGAGACGGGTCCTCTCAGATCAGGCAGTTATTTAAACCCCCATGGTAAAATCATGCTCAATCCCCGGCGTAACACTAGCAATAAACTTCAAAAACACAACGAGATACTGATCCACGCGAATGGCAACCTGATCCTCCTCATCATGCTGCAGCATCTCCCACTCATCACCACCTGCTTGCCCCTGGCCGCCATGTCCCTCACTCACCGACAATCCCTTAACATCATCCACTAACCCTTCCAACCCGCCCGCTCCAGCAGCGACCTTCGCATCAGGCTCTGCGTGCGCCGAGGCCGCGGCCTTGAGCTTATCGCGACGGATTTTGAGCGCTGCGTCGGCGCGATCCAGGAGGGTTTTCATCACGGAGGCGTGCCGGCATGGATGCACGGTCGCCATCTTTACGCTGCCTTCGAACCAGGGGAAGTCTTCGAGGGTGACGGTTTTGTCTTTGTAGTCGCCGACTATGTCTTCCATCATTAGTTGGGGCGGGAGGGGTTCAGATGCGGAGAGGTAGCCGGAGAGGTAGAGGCGCGGGGTGCGGTAGAAGTTGGCGTAGGTTATGTAGAGGTTGTAGGTGCGGGTTGGTCTGTTTGGGATTATTTGTTAGCTTCGTTGATGCGGTGTCTTTGATGTTGCAGATAGAGGAGGGATCCAACTTACTGCGTCGTCCCCGTCACCGGTTCCCGAATAATCGCCTCTTCATCATCATCCTCATCTTCCATATCCGGAATCTCATCTTCCTCTGGTTCCTCTACCTCGCCCATATTCCCGGCCTCGTCGACCGTCCGTACATCTCCGATCCGAGCAGATGATGACGACGATGCTGCGTTATCGCCGCCTCCCGTCCGCAACCAACCATCGTCATCGTTGTCTCCCTCACCCGCTAGCATGCCCCGGACAATCTCGTCTTCGTGGCCTGCGTCCCCGGCGAAGTTGTCGTTTAGCCGTCGGTGACATGGCACGCCGCGGGTGACCAGGAACTGCTTTCCGGGCGGGAGGTAGGAGACACGCTTTGCGGGGGTTGCGGCATCAGCCCAGGACCAGGAGGGGAACTTGTAGACTAGGTAGTCGCCTGCGAGGACAAACTCTTCGGGGGTGATCTGGCCGGTTGTTCGGAAGGTCGAGGTGCGGGAGACGGGGGCGAGACGGTCTCGCCAGGTGGAGAGGGTGGAGTGGAGGATGTTCATTGCTTTAGTTGTTTGCTTGCTTGCTTGTCTGTCTTGTTGGTGTTTCGTTTCTTCCTTGGGTTATTTAGAAGGGCTGTTGGTAGAGTTGGTTGGGATGAGGTCAGGAGATAAATATAAATGAGATGGAGGGGAAGGAAGCTTATCTACAGGAAGATTTAAAGGAGAGAGAGGGAATGATGGGGATGGAGGGAATGGGATTTGGCTGTGGCGGTGACGAACTTATCGGAGTCCCTGGACGATGCACGCGGGGTACATCAGGTGGCTGAGGCTCCGTCATCCACCAGAAAGCAACACACTTTTAGATGGGTTTACTGGACTGGGACACTTTCTTCCCGGAGATCATACTACTACTTCGCTAACCATGTGGCTTGCCAGTCACTGGACTTTCATTTATTCATCTGGTTTACTCAGTGTTTCTGGTAGGTGATTGCGGACTGCAGAGGGGCCGGGCTCGGTTTTACCCGCGTACCATTACGTAGGTCCCTTTCTTGTGCCATTTGAAGGACCTGGAAGTATAACTGGCTATGGCATCCTCCGAAGGAAAGGAGGCCCTGTCACTTGAGTGGCGGGGGTTTCTGCGCCCACGGGTCCTCGGGAAGGCTGGCTGCTATCTCCGATATCTGATCACATCGGATCCAGCATGGCCCTTTCTTGTTCCAGATGCTTGTTCTGGAACATTTGTAGCCTGTAACCGGGGTCTTCCTCAAGCAAGCTGCGCCCGCATGATAGAATTGTCTTGCATGCTGCGTAGCTCTCACTCACCCTCTTCCATCATTCTCCTATGTTCTATCTCACCCTCCAGCTCATCTACCGTCATGGGTATTCCTCGGCCCTTCCACTTTTCCATTTCCGCCCGCGCAAATCCCTCCATGCTTCTCATGCCCACCACCAAGAATCCAAGGTCCTCACGGTCAACGTCGAATACTTCCCACCAGTCGCCATCGACGAGCTTAACACCCACTTCCCGGGCTGCGAGGTAGATCGAAGCAACGGCAAGGGCGTTCGGTTGGTGCGTAACGTATAACAGCTGCGGCGACAGCAACGCTGAGTTGAGATGCTCGAATACTCTGTGAGCAACGGCTGAGGATGGCACGCCAAGGGTCTGGAGGTAGGTCAAGGCGATAGTGTGAGGGAGAGCCACATGCGTATTGAATCCCAACGTGCGTAGAATGATCGACTCGATGCGCAGCAGAACCAGTCGCTGTGCGTGATAATCGCCTTCCGTAAGGTGATAGGTTTCTGGCATTGCCTTGTCTGGCAACCCCTTGGGGTTTATGAACCACAATGGCGACGCATCTTTTGACAGGAGAAAAGCGTAGACGTTTAGCACCGAGCGGGGAGAGGTGGGTTGGAAGGATAACTTTGCAGTCATGTACAGCGCTGCGGCGGATACATCCTAGTTGAAAACGATCTGTCAGTACCTTTGCTACTTCGTTCGAAGAGAAATTAGCGACTCTGATTACCTTCACCGAGTATATTCGTAGACTGCCACCTTCCGAGCCTATCCAGAACCGGGTAAATGTCACAATGGCCTGCGCGATGATGTCTTGCGACAATCGTAACAGAACCCCCGCTGTTTGTGTGAGCTGCGCGCCCGCAAATCGGACAGATGCTTCTAGATCAAGAGGCACACCGTCGATAGATGATGATGAATTTGATAGCTGCTCTGGTGTTGCTAGCGCATTGGAAAGGTACTTCAACCCGCTTGCGGCCGAGCTTGCCATGTCGCTGGTGTGGGAATGCCGGGGAGTTCGTATAGGAATCTGCAAGGAGGAGAATCACAATTATGAACACAAGTAAAGGGAAGCCCCTGGATACTTAATGTGCAGTTGGCTAGTTTTTTCAAAGAGGATCTTGTTGCTTCGATCCATAAGTTAGCTTGGTCTTGATTGTTGTTCCTGCAAAGCTGCGGCCATTTGAGGCTCACCGCCCGGTTAAGTGGGAGTGATCAACATCGACATGCATCCTCAGGTTCAGAGTCTTAGTACTAGCCCACAATGGACATTGTGAAGTAAATTGTTGTAATATCATGATTTATTGCAATCAGGTTCTAGTAATCCTTGATAATAACTAGTATTCAGGAGGTGTAGACCAGGGGGGGTGGCATGTATACTACTAAGGCTACATACTAGCGCCTACTATTTGGAAATATATACCGGAAGTTAATTAGTACAGTAGTGGTACTTAGTACTAATAGAAGTGCCAGATGAGCAGACGCTTCAGTTATTTCTAATCCTAATAAGTAGACCCTGATGTACTATGCGTATAGTATACTTCATACCCTCCATATCAGCATTCTAGACAATGAAATAACCAGTTGATAGAGACTAGAGCATGTGACCCCACAAGCCTTAGGCAACCATGTCTCGTAAACCAGAAACGATGTATCGCTGCAGCTCGAGTGCACGCAGCCCACATTAACATCTATCTATGCCTCGCAGGTTCCACGGTATAATGCCGACTACGTACATATTTCCGAGCCGTACATGCCAGACGTCCTTGAGGCCTGGTCTTCAGACTCATTCATCCAGTCGGGTTGAAGGATGGAGTACTGACAACGATTGAACACAGGTGGACATTGCTGTGTCCCCCTTATCCTCCGCAAATGATTGCTTAACCCCGAGATTGCTTAATCTCACGGAGGAGAGGATCGTCTGCGAACTAAACCGCATGAAACGGGACCCCAAGAGTCCAGACTCTAAGCACCCCAGGGCCTGCCCAGCAATGACAGCGGAAAAGGGGCATCACCGTTTTGGTCACTGCGTAGGACGTGGCGTCAATGGTATATGCCACTATCCAGTCGTCAAGGAGACCATTGCCTCTGCCAGTGCTACAGATGACGTCGTTGGGTCATGGAAAGGTATTCATGCGCCGTCTGGAGTCATTGCTTGCCCGGTTCAGGGGAGCTGAGGGAATGGGGCGAATTTGTGCCTAATAAAAGATCATGACAGCACAATATCACTCAAAGGCCATGTAACCAGCCGCTTCATCCACCACTCATCTAGCGCAGGGCCTCGTGGTGGAGCAAAGAGAAGGTTGTTCAGCCACCGGCTTTTTGCTGTTTGGCGGAGCATGACTTCTAAGAATACATACCCAACCTCGCGATATTTCGTGGTTCCTTGACCTAAAGGATCCATCGCGATTCCTCGTCAGATTGTTGACCACATATCGAACATTCTGAACACCAACTAAGACAGTCCGGCTCTGAATTCTCCAAGATCGCTCCATCCACTCCTAGATAGATCGTGCAGGATCCTCAGCACTCGTCGCTGACAGGGGCACGTGCGGGTACGCCGTCTGATCACTTATCGCTTGGCGGTCGAGTTCATCAACCTGAAGAACATCTGTTACAATCGCGTCCTGTTTCCACTTAGGCTATTGTCCATAACGTATACACCGTCGACTTTCAGCCCATTGCTAAACCGTTTTCACGCTTGATCCTCTATCAATTCCTTGTTTATCGCCCCGCAATCCACCAAAGAAGAGAAGATCTAGAGGGACAGCTTCGGGAGCTACTCATTTCCGTCTTTCTCCTCCCCTCTCTTCCCCCCCTTTTGCTTCCTCGCAGACGACCGACCGCGGCATACGTGACCGTGCATTGGATTGGACGACGAATCGACGTGGCATTCCAGTCCGTGTCCAAGTGGTGCGACCGACCGCGACCCTTCGTCATTCCAAGCCCCATCCCTTCCCACCTACCGTCCAGTCACCTTCGACCTCAACAATGCTCCGCGACCCCGAGCACCCGTCAACTACAGCCACGCCTGCGAGTAGCAATACTGCGGAAGTGTCCTCGACAGCGGTCGCATCGACCGAAATCGAAGAGACTTGTCAGCCTTACGCAGACAATCAACCTGCCCACCAGAATACCCCTGTAACTTCTTTAGCACCGAGCTCGGATGCGTTATCCCCACTACCGCCGAAACAATATCCTTCACACCCCTCTCACCGTCGGGCGAACACCGAGATTATCCCGCGGCAAGCCCCTCTGCCGTCCAGGAAGCTCTTCTCCGATCAACCCAAAACCTACGAAGACTTAGACTCCGGCACCACTCCCTCGAACCCACCAGTTGAGAACACTGCCAGAAAGAGATTCGAAGAAGGCGCAAAGCGCTTGTCCGGCTGGTTTCAAGGAAAGTCGGAACCGGTCAACTTAGGAGTAGTGTATCAGTCAGAAGAGCAGGACTCGGCCGCCACAGACGATATGGAGAAGCGCGCCAGTCGCGAATTCTACGGGTCGCCTAACGTCCCAACGGGCCTGACAAGCCGAACTCAGAAGCGGATGACTGCGCCATCGCCTCTGAAACAGGTTACATCATCAAGTCCCTTCTCGTTCTTCGGATTAAAGAGACAGGGGGAGAGCAGACCGGAGCTGCCCGAACCTGCCCAGGACGAGTTCTTGAACCTCGATATCAACGCCGCTTTATTCCCGACTGGTTTCAGTAATCTGGAAGGTCGGGAAGCCTTTGACGCCCTAAGACAAAACGCAGATACTGTACTTAGGCGGCTGCAGGCTGCATACAAACAGAGGACGTTCGCCTTGCATGAAGCCCTGGCCGACAAGAATGAAAAGCAAGAGGAGCTGGAGGTTACTCGGACACGCATCGGGAACCTCAAGATCCAGTTAGATGGCATGGCCGAGAAAGTCATCCAACAAGAGAAAGCGATGAAGGCCATGGCCGAAGAGCTGGAGCATGAGCGGCAATTACGTCGCCGAGAGGAAGAGGCACGCCTGCGCAGCATCACGCTGGTTCGATCTAGCGACGACGAGAGTACCTCTGACCTCGGGGCTGAACTTCAGACCCCCAAGCGGAGCCTCAAACGCGCCAGCAATGGTACATTTACGAGCGACTCGGGCTTCGATTCAGGAGATGAGAGCCTTGCAGAGAGTGTCTTCTCCCGCCGCGAAGTGCTCGAGTCTCCAGCGTCGACGGTCGCGCCATCTCCCAATATCTCGCAGGTTGCCTTGTCTACACCCAGTACAGCTGCTCCTGCACAACAGAGCCAGAAAGAGCTCAAACCAGCGCCAACACCTGCACCAGCACCAACGCCTGCGCGTCCATCTACTTATGATCGGGTTATAAAAGGGCTGACACCGAGGAGCATCGCCAGCTCGTGGACGAACAGCTCCAAATGTAACATCTGTCATGGGGTTCCTTCCTCGGAAGCCTGGAGCGTCATGGGGATCTTGAAGGAAGAGAACAAAGGACTGAAGGAGCGACTCGGGGAGTTGGAGAACGTGATTGATGATTGTCTCTGTCTTGTTGGGCCCTGACAGCTTGGTATGCTTGCTCTACGTTGACCGAAGCGTACGGATACCAGAAAGTCACGGCCTTTATTGGGAGGAAACGGCGAATATGACCGTTATACAGTGATACCTTGAGATACCTAGATAGAGTACTTTTTGAGAGAGATACTTTTTACTATTTTTTGTTAGAATCGTCGAATACCCTACCATACAAGCAGATCATTGATCTTTTCCAGCTCATAGTGCTGCATCGTGAACACTATAATTCTTGTAGGGGCGGAGGAAAGCGACCAAGTGGCCTCAACGGGTTAGCGTGGCTGGGTGGGCGCAAAGTGGCCAGCGAGGCGACTCTGGATCGCACCCGCAATCCCCGTCGACCTCATCGCTTCCTCCCTTTCTCCTCCTCCATCCTCTCTCTCTTCCCGTCGTCTTCACTTCTTCTCCTTCTTCTTTTGTAATTCCCCTCCATTCCTTCAGCTGGTTCTCGCCTCCAGCTTTCCTTTCTTTCTTCCCCTCCCCTTTTATTCGAGTAATCCTGCAGCTCTGGGAGGTGCAACAGTCACAATGAGCGGACGTGAGTCTTGCACGCGATCGCTGCCCTTTTCGCGACAGCGTTCCATCTTTTACCTCAATGGGTCAGCAAATGCTGATACTCAATTCTAGTCCGGTTTCTCGATCTCATCAAGCCTTTCACGCCCCTCCTCCCGGAGGTGGCCGCCCCGGAAACCAAGGTTCCCTTCAACCAGAAGTTGATGTGGACGGGGGTACGTGATACTTGTCCAGCTCGACAAGAGCTTCTAAGCTAATGGATTGTTTCTGCAGTTGACTCTCCTGATCTTCCTGGTCATGAGTCAGATGCCCTTGTACGGAATTGTCTCCTCTGACACCTCCGACCCTCTGTACTGGCTCCGTATGATGCTGGCCAGTAACCGGGGTACCCTGATGGAATTGGGTATCACCCCTATCATCTCCTCCGGCATGGTTTTCCAGGTATGTAATGGGGAAATTGCAATTTGAACTCGAATATTGGGCATTTGCTAATATGTGGCTTTTCTGATAGCTCCTCGCTGGTACCCACCTCATCGATGTCAACCTGGACCTCAAGACCGACCGTGAATTGTATCAGACCGCTCAGAAGCTCTTCGCTATCATCCTGTCCTTCGGTCAGGCCTGCGTCTACGTCCTCACTGGTCTTTACGGCCAGCCCAGTGACCTTGGTGCCGGTATCTGTGTCCTCCTGATTGTTCAGCTGGTCGTTGCTGGCTTGGTTGTCATTCTGCTGGATGAGCTCCTCCAGAAGGGCTATGGTCTTGGTAGCGGTATCTCTCTGTTCATCGCGACCAACATCTGCGAGTCCATCGTCTGGAAGGCTTTCTCCCCCACGACCATCAACACTGGCCGTGGTCCCGAGTTCGAGGGTGCCATCATTGCTCTCTTCCACCTTCTGTTGACCTGGTCCGACAAGCAGCGCGCTCTTCGTGAGGCTTTCTACCGCCAGAACCTCCCCAACATCATGAACCTGTTGGCCACTCTCCTCGTTTTCGCCGCTGTGATCTACCTCCAGGGCTTCCGTGTCGAGATCCCCGTCAAGTCCTCCCGCCAGCGTGGCATGCGTGGTTCCTACCCTGTTCGCCTGTTCTACACCTCCAACATGCCCATCATGCTCCAGTCTGCTCTGTGCTCCAACATCTTCCTCATCAGTCAGATGCTGTACTCTCGCTTCTCTGACAACCTCCTTGTCAAGCTTCTCGGTGTTTGGGAGCCTCGCGAGGGTTCTGCCCAGCTCCACGCTGCTTCCGGCATTGCCTACTACATGTCTCCTCCCCTGAACTTCAAGGAGGCCCTTCTTGACCCCATCCACACCGCCGTCTACATCACCTTCATGCTGGTCGCTTGCGCTCTCTTCTCCAAGACCTGGATCGAGGTTTCCGGCTCTGCTCCCCGCGATGTTGCTAAGCAGCTCAAGGACCAGGGTCTCGTGATGGCTGGTCACCGTGAGCAGAGCATGTACAAGGAGCTCAAGCGTGTCATCCCTACTGCCGCTGCTTTCGGTGGTGCCTGCATTGGTGCCCTGTCCGTCGCTTCTGACCTCCTTGGTGCTCTTGGCAGCGGTACTGGTATCCTCCTTGCCGTTACGTAAGTCTTCACTCTCATCTCTATTCTTTGGGAATGAATACTAACCTTTGTTTTCAGAATTATATACGGATACTTCGAAATTGCCGCCCGTGAGGGCGACATTGGATCGGGCCTCAAGGGCCTTGTTCCGGGTAACTAATAAGGCCCCTTTTTTGATGAAAGCATGAGAAGAAGTTTGAGGGCTTATGTTTGTTCTTGCAACTTTCTGTTTCTTCTCGGGTAGAGTGCTGTTGTGGCTGGGATCTGGATTATTTAGTTCTTGATGGATGTATGGCTAGTTTTTAACAATTTGCAGGAGGGGAAGATCTTCTTCACGAAGATACGTCCACGCCACAGCTGTACATAGCACCTACCTGGTTTGTAACCATATTGACAAAAGATCTAAAATTAACTTAATTGGCTTGACCATCTCGGGTGCCTTTTTACTTCAACTGCAAGGGGGCGGTCTCTGATGCAGATCTATAACTAGGTAACAATTGCGGGTATATACCGAAACCACACTTTATACACAATCAACTGCAGTACTACTTACACTGCAACATCGGTATTCACTTTTTCACTCACACTCACCTAAGTCCGGTAATCACCATTAATAGTCACATACTCGTGACTGAAGTCACAGAACCAATAAACCGCCTCCTCTCCACCAAGACCCTTCTCGCCCTTCTCACCACCACCCAGGTCAACCACAATCTCCAAATCTTCCTCCTGCAGAATTACCGACGCGCGATCCTCATCCACCTGCTCCGGCTCGCCGTTCACCAACAACTTCAGCTCCGCACTGCCATCCACAGGCTTGAAGCTCACACTAGTCCGTTCCGGCACCACCGTACCCTCCGCAACGCCCTGCGTGTAGCCAATCGCGCACAGGATCCGGCCCCAGTTCGCGTCCTTTCCATACAAAGCAGTCTTGACGAGAGGGGACCGCGCGATCGTCGATGCGATCAGTCGGGCGGACTCGTAGTCGGGGGAGTTCTGCACACGGACCGTGACGAATTTGGTGGCGCCTTCGCCGTCCCGGACAACGAGTTGCGAGAGGGATTGCGCGAAGGAGGTCAGGACGTTCTGCATGGCCGTGTAGTCTGCGGATGAGGTCGAGGTGATGGGTGCACCGCCGGCAGCGCCGTTGGCCAGGATGGCGATGGTGTCGTTGGTGCTGGTATCGCCGTCTACGGAGATGGAGTTGAAGGACCGGGATACAGCGTGCTTGAGGAGCGGCTGGAGGGCTGAGGGGGCAATGGGCGCGTCGGTGCAGAGGACGCCCAGCAGGGTGGCCATGTTCGGGTGGATCATGCCGGCACCTTTGGTCATTCCGGCGAGGCGGTACGTGCGGTCCGGGGACGAGGGGAGGGTGAAGGTCTGGGAGAGGAGCTTGGGGAAGGTGTCTGTTGTGCAGATGGCGCGGGCGGTTGTGAGCCAGGCATCGTGGGTGGAGGAGAGGGTCGAGTGCGCAGTGGGGATTTTGTTGAGGATCTTGGAGATGGGGAGGCTGTTGTGAGGGTTATATTTGTTAGTGATGAGCTGATGATGGGAGAATTGAGAGGAGGGAAGGGATTGTTACCGTTGTCCGATCACACCGGTGCTCATGACGAGAGTGCTGGGCTGGGCGAGGCCATTGCACTCGTCTACCTTGCTGCCCATGCTCACGGCATCCTCCAGGCCGCCTTTACCTGTCACGGCGTTGGCGCAGCCTGAGTTGATTACCACGGACCGGATGCCTTCGCCTTGGGTGGTCTTCAGAGTGTTCTTGCTTGCTTGGACCGGGGCGGCTTGGAACTTGTTGGTGGTGAAGACGGCGGCGGCGGAGCAGGGCGTCTCGGAGGAGATGAGGGCCAGGTCCGGGAATCTGGTGTTGGATGCCTTCACGCCGACGTGGGTTCCGGAGACGGAGAAGCCCTTAGGGTAGGTACCGGAGGCAGGGATATACTTCTGCTTGGAGGCGGGAATGGCCATATCCAAGGGCGCAGAGTAGTAACGCACCTGGCCCTTCACCATGCGGGCGAAGGTAGCCATGGTGGTAGAGGCCGCCGAGTTGGTAGGCAAAGCCATTGGAATTCCTTTTTTCTGGGGCAGATGAGCAGATGTTAGTAAACCTGCTCCCTGCGATCGAGGGAATTTATATCGGGGGAATCCAATGGGTGTGGATGCCTTCTCCAGGGCTGCAAGAGTGTCCTTGGGTATATATACCTGCAGGAGAGAGGATCGGAGATAAGTTGAAGTAGATAAATGACTCACCGAATTGACTCGCTCGACTTGTCAGGGGCCTAACGACCACAACTAATTCGATCAGGCAAAGTGGACGTGTAGACCACTGCCGGATAAACCAAGTGAGCAGTCTCAATGGAAGAAATAAGAACACGACAAGCGCAAAGCACCGGAAACAGGAAAGGTGAAGTGATGCGATTCGCGGCGATGAAATGCCGCTCCGATATCGCGGAATCGGAGAAACCGTCGGGCCTGCCTTTGATTGATTGATTGATTTGCTGCGCGTTCCAGACGCGCCCATCGCAGGGCAAAAAAGTAGCCACGAGGAAGCCGACCAGATCTATCAGCGATCAGCATTCCCAGCAAGCGCGCTCATCCCTCGCGTCCTCTGTTGTGCTCGTCGTTCCTTCTGGACCTCCAGAAGAGCTTTGTTGTGCCCCGAATGGTATTTGCTCTCCGCCATTCCCCCGAAGCTGCTTCGATTACCTCCCCGGACCCATTGACTAAAATGAAACGCAAGCATCCAGAATCCGATGACCAATTTCCGATCTCTACGCCCAAGAGGCAGAGGACTACGGCCACCAATGGCACCGTGAATGGGCACACCAACGGTGAACGTGAACGAACCCCTGAAGCTACCACCACCCCTACGAAACGAGTGAAATCAACACCTCAAAAATCCACGACCGATAACACCCCAGCCGCTCTTAAAGCTTCGGGGTTGAAGACCCCAACACAGAAGGCCAAAGCGAAGAATCTATTCTCAACGCCCACAAAAAAGCCAACTGTTGCAACTCCGTCGAAAGCCCGTGCCGACCGGTCCGCTAAGAAGAAGAGCGCTCGTCTTCTCCTCGAACAGGATGACGAAGACATTTGGGACGGCGCTGACCGTCTTGCGGAGGAGATCCTACAAGATGATACCAACGAAGCCCCCAGCAAGGCGTCGGCGACAGGGAAAGGTCTATTAGAATCCATCGAGGAGGAATCTACTCAACCCGCCGCAAATGGTGCGACAGAAGGAGCACCCACACCCAAGCGTCGTGCAGGTCGACCAAAAGGCGCAAAGAATAAGCGTTCTCCCACCCCGGAAGGAGAACTCCCAGCTCACGAGCGATACTTTTTCCAAAACCGCGCTGGACCACCCCGTACATCGAACAACAATTTAGGCAAAGTAAACCTCTTAACGCACGAGGAGTACTTCGAACGAATGTCACAATACGCAGACCCATACAAACAAGAGAAGTCCTTTCTTCTTGACCTCCACTGCCGGTCCTTCCCCCAGTGGGACTTCGAATTCGACCAAGGCTTCAATATCTGCCTGTACGGCTACGGCTCCAAGCGCCGCCTCCTCCAAGAATTCGCAGACTGGCTCTACCACCGTCACCACAGCAGTTCCGCCTCAAGCTCCGTAGTCATCGTGAATGGACACACGCCCAACATGTCCATCCGTTCCATCTTCGCCACGATCGTCACCGCCGTCCTGGGTGCCGATATTCCTTCCAAAATGGGCTCTCAGCCCCAAGAAGTCCTCGAATTGCTTCAGTCCGTCCTCAAGTCCCGATCATCCCAGAAACCAATCACCGTTCTCATCAACTCCATCGATGCGCCTGCCCTCCGGAGAGCGGCGAACCAAGCCCTCCTTGCCCGTTTAGCTGCTACGCCGAAAATCCATCTTCTCGCGACGGCGGATACCCCGAATCTGTTGCTGATGTGGGATCTTAGCCTGCGTGACCAGTTCAACTTCGTCTTTCATGACTGTACGACCTTCGCGCCGTTTGATACCGAGTTTGATGTCGTTGAGGAGGTCAGCACTCTGCTGGGAAGAAAGGGCCGCCGGGTCGGTGGTAAGGAGGGTGTTGAGTTCGTGTTGAAGAGTCTTCCTGAGAACGCGAGGAATCTGTATCGGTTACTTCTCACGGAGCTGCTATCCATGGCGGATGAGGGACATATGTCGGATGATGACATGGATGGTGGGGGTAATGGAGGGGATGGCAGCAACGGTCGAGGAGAGGAAACGGGCATTGAGTTCCGGACGCTGTATCAGAAAGCAGCGGAGGAGTTTATTGCCTCATCAGAGATGATGTTCCGGACATTGTTGAAGGAGTTCCATGATCATCAGATGATTACTTCGCGGATGGATACGAGTGGGATGGAGATCCTGGGAGTCCCATTGGCGCGTGACGAGATGGAGGGTGTTTTGGAAGATCTGGTATTGAGTTGATTGCTGACTGACAGAAAGATAGGTTGATAGATAGTATAGTATAAGATAGGCTAGTATAGCGCCTTGCACGGCATGGCATAAATCCATGATACCCTGTATAACACGGAATACTTATTGCAGCAATTGGAGCGTAGTAAGCCCGGTGTTTCTTCATTCGCTAGACAAGATACATAGATTCTTCGAGATGCGATACCACCAAATCACATTGATACCGCATATTTCAACATAGTCTACCTAGAACTGCGCAAACGCAGCCAACCCCATCGTAGCCCCGAAACTAATCTTGAAGGGAATATGACGTGACACCGTCTTTTGCAGATCCACCCGCTTAAAGTACTTCTGCACCGTGTTGACCGGAAGCAGATTATATCCTCTCGCCGCAGCCCACTAAAGTAATATCAATATTAGCCACAACCCACCAAAAACCAAATACAGGAAAGGGAAGTAAGGAATGATCAATCAATCAACCCACCTCAACAGCAACAATCCCCATCCCCAAGAGCACCACCAACACTCTCGAAAACGCCCTCAACCCCACACCCACAACCAACCCCAGCACGCTGCCCAGACTGACCTGGCGCATGTTCGAGGCCGTCAGGATCCCGCCACCAGCAGTATTATGACTCGAGTTTCTGGTAGTGCCTTGTTTACGCAGCAACGGGTCCTGGGAGTCCATGGCCCAGCCGGAGTCCGGGGAGATTTGGGATTCGGGGCGGTAGTAGGGAGCGGTGTATTGGCATTGCATTGGGGGTGCGCGGAAGGGGGAAAGTGGGTGGAGGGATAGGGAGAGGCCGACACCGAGGCCGGTGCCTAGGAGAGTGGTTGTTGTGCGGCTCAGGAGGAAGGCCATTGTTGGTTGCGACGATTGTGGTTTGCGATGGGTAGGATAGGAGAGGGTTTGTTTGGGAGAGGAGGGTGGTGAGGCAATTGAGTGGTTATTAGCGTCTTGGTTGTTCGGTAATGGGATGGGTTTGGAGGAATGAATTATAAGGATGAGATGGAATGAGAGGGGCCTGGAAGGGCGCTGCAGGTTGTGGTTATTATGGTTATGGTTCTCAGCTGTTCTGGAGTTGCGCCCTCGGTATGCGTACGGTGACGTCACGGGGGTTAGTCTGAGAGGTAGATACCCTGGTCTGGGTGATTTGTGGTGGAAGATGTTTGTGGAGGAAGGGTGTATTGTACGAAGAGAAGCAGGAGATGTTTGTGCGAGATAGGAAGTAGAGATTGGATAGCTTTTGCAGTCAATGGCTGTGGACAGAGAGAAGGTGTTGAGGTGGGCACCAGTGCTAGTATGAGAATGAGGAGATGAAGCAACCAAGCAAGCATGCCTCGGATAGGAAGGTGATTGGAGACAGTTAGTCCTAATGCCTGAGGCATTAAGGGTAGTTTACGAGGAATACGGATGTGACCATACACACGACCTGCATGACCAGACGTGACCAACATTACGATACGCCAAGGTGGAAAACCGCGGGAAATCCACCAGGCCATGCATCACGTGACTAACTCTATAGGCAGCGAGGGAGGGACGGACGGACAGTGATTGGTTGCCACGGCCGCCCTGCGAACGACGGCAGGAAAAAGTCGGCCGCCGCGGGGAAAAAATCGAGGGGTAGAAAGCAGGAACCGGCAGTGGTTGGTCCAGATGCTGCCCCCCGTCTCCGCGGAGGCGAACGGGCGGCGTTACTGATAGTTCAGTACGGAGTACTTAGTAGTTGTTCCTCGTCGGCCGTTGACTCACTCCTGCTTTTCTTTCTCTCGACATCCTCCTACTCACTTCCTCCCCATTCCCTAGGGTGCCTTCTTCCTTCTGGACTTCTCTTCTCATACATACTCTTGGTCTTCAGCCCATTGAACCTTCTTCTCCTCCACAATGGCTTCCCAGCAGAATGGCGATTCCAACGGCACTGCCAACACCTTCACTCTGAAGGCCGGTTTGGCTCAGATGTTGAAGGGTGGCGTGATCATGGACGTTGTCAACGCGGAACAGGTATGCCTCTACATAGGATCATAAAACTCAATCTCAGTCAATCGTTGCTAACATTCAATTTGCCAACAGGCTCGCATTGCTGAAGAGGCTGGTGCCGCCGCTGTCATGGCCCTCGAGCGTGTCCCCGCCGACATCAGAGCTACGGGTGGCGTGGCTCGCATGTCCGATCCCGGCATGATCAAGGAGATCCAGAAGGCCGTTACCATCCCTGTTATGGCCAAGGCTCGTATTGGACACTTCGTTGAGTGCCAGGTAAGCTACAATCAACCTCTTATCATGGATGTCCGTTTCGCCACAAACTAACACACCGTCCACTAGATTCTCGAAGCCATTGGCGTCGACTACATTGACGAGTCGGAAGTCCTGACCCCCGCCGACGACGTCTACCACGTCACCAAGCACAACTTCAAGGTTCCCTTCGTCTGTGGCTGCCGTAACTTGGGTGAGGCTCTTCGCCGTATCTCCGAGGGTGCTGCCATGATCCGCACCAAGGGTGAGGCCGGTACCGGAGACGTTGTGGAAGCTGTCAAGCACATGCGCCAGGTCAGCTCGGACATTGCCCGTGCCCGTGCCATCTACCAGTCCTCTGCCGACTACGAGCCCGAGCTGCGCCAGTTTGCCCGCCAGCTGGAGGTTCCCTACGAGTTGCTTCGTGAGACGGCCGAGAAGGGCCGTCTGCCCGTGGTGAACTTCGCTGCCGGTGGCGTTGCCACCCCTGCCGATGCGGCGCTCATGATGCAGCTGGGCTGCGATGGTGTGTTTGTTGGTTCCGGTATCTTCAAGTCCGGCGATGCGAAGGCGCGCGCCAAGGCCATCGTGCAGGCTGTCACTCACTTCCGCGACCCCAAGGTTCTGGCCGAGGTGAGCGAGGATCTGGGTGAGGCCATGGTGGGCATCAACGTGGCGCAGATGTCCGAGGCCGACAAGCTGGCCAAGCGGGGATGGTAAGCGAGAAGCATTCTAGAGACTTATTTTCATCGCGGGCGTTGGAAAAGCTGGTCTACTGTGTTTTTGTACACTTGTGTTGCATTTGCTGCCGTCAAGGCGATTTGTCTTAGTACATTGTTGATATGAGCCATGAGCACATGATCTACTATCCTTTGAATAATAGAAATGCGGTGGTTAGACGGACTTTTTTTTCTTTCATTTAAACTTTCTTAACCTCGGGTTCCTTGGCGCACTTAAGCGTTCCATAATAGATTGATCGTCTGACCTAGCTATAGCTAGCCAGTAATCTCACAAATCTTTCCCAAAAATATCGCCTCTGATATAATGATCTCCCATACCTATAAACAATCATACCCATACCGATGGAGGGTCCGGAGCAACAGCCCAACTCCGTTTTCCAGGCTAGCGGCGGGCCGGAAGGCGCCCTCGGCTTGCCGCCGATCCGCCGATGAATTCGCGCAAAAGACCCATCTCGCCGGTGAACAATTGACTCACCTTCGTGTTCGAACCTCCAGAGCACGCCAAGAAGATTCCACTATCTGTTTTTGAGTTGAATACAGGGACCCCATTGCGCCCTCTCTTGACATTGAGTAATCAAATCATCCACCGAGACAGCGCCGAGAAAGTTACTTTAACTTACCGTACGTGACATACCACCTTGCAGACGGGTAATCTGCAATGACAGCTCTTACCATACCGCTAGTTAAGCATACGGCTCCTACTCCAGCCGTGAAAGCTATTCCAGATCGAGCAGATACGGTCATGTGACTATGAGCTTGGGGGGAATCAGTCTATGACAGCTACGTACTTTGTACTAAGGCTACTACCGACCCTTCAGGGCTCCCCACCCCCGAGACTACTACCTTCTCGGGCACTACGGAGGCCGCTACGGGATGTAAGGCCCTAAAGTCAGGTACTAGAATACTATAGCTAGCTTGGATATATAGTGTAAAATCTGCAGTTTTAGGACTACTCTCCTAGAGAGCCCTACCAAGGCTACCACTCCGGGAGGCCACTAGGGCAAGCACCAAGGCTTCTGAAGCTCCCCAAGAGTCTCCCGAGAGCCACTACCAGGGCACTACTACGCCTAGTTACTCCCAGGGACACCTCCAGAGGCACTATGGAGGAAGTACAACAGATACAAATCTTCCTATGTTAGGGATTATGGTTGTATGATAAACCTAACATAGCTAAGCTGCACTCCGTATGGTATACCCTGATAGTTCCCCAGGCCGCCACTTCCTTACATCTTGTTTACCGAATATGGAAGGCACAACTACTTACTGCCCGCTACATAGCATATAGAAGTAAGTAGTTACAGCTTATACTCCCCACAATCCACCCACATCTACACCACACTCTTTCTAAGAACAATCATTAATAACTACACACACTCGTTCATCTACCCAACTCAATCATACTATATACATTGACACTCTACCCCATACAACCATAACCCCTGCAACCGTGTCTTCCACCACTACTACTAGTGCATCATACCACACAGCAGCAATGAACAACCTCGCCGTGATCCCCGCCATCCCCATTCTCCTCACCATCATCATCGGAATCTTCCTTATCCCTATACTCATACTAGCTGCCATCCCCACTGGGATCTTCCTCTTCTGCGTGGCCGTATGCGGCGTCATCGCGGTTGTCGTGTTCGGCCTGTTCTCGATGTTCTTCATCAGTCCAGTGATCCTGGTGGTGGCGGCTATAACGTGGTTCTTCGTTCTCACCTATCGAGCGTGCAGATTTGCCTTTACGGTTCTCTTTGGTCTTCTGGTTGATAGGTTGTGGCCTCCTGGTCCTTTGCCGAATGGATGGGCTAACTGATTTGCTCTGGGCAGTTTTGGTTGAGGGGTTTTTGTTGTTGTTGTTGTTGGAGGTTTGGAAATTTGGGTGTGGGGTGAGATGGGATGGGAGAGGGAGAGAGGGTTTATAGGAATGGGTTATGGGCATGATGGGTTTATATCATAGTTGCTACTAGCGTTGGAGTTGGTTATGGTTTCTTGTCCTTGTGTCATTGTTATTACTAGTAAACTGTCTACACAGTTACTCTCATGCTGCTCCATCACAATGATGATATAATGTCTCACTATCCGAACTCAGCCAAGAGAGATTATCAAATATGCCCGTAACAACCCTAGTCCTTGGTGGTATAATAATTGTTGCTCAAGCGCTAGCCGTTGTCTTAGCACAAGCTATGATCATTATTGCTGCTGGTGGGTTCTGGTTCTCGATCAGTACGCTGGTCATATTCGGTGACTTCCCATAGAGTATTTGGTGAGAATTTGGGGATGATTGAAGGGACTACAAATGGTTTAGGAAAAGGTTGTTGTTGTCATTATTGTTGCTGCTGTTCTTATCGTTATCATGCCATACAACAGATACTTGACTGAAACAATAATAGAGACGTTCGCAGATTGTTTCTAACGAGTATATTAATGTTAATAATACGTAGATAGCTAATGCGTTTCTGCCCATTTCACCCATCGGCGAATACAATCGTCCACCCGTTTCAGGGACGACTTCTCTGCTGTGATTTCAAACCACTCGCGATGCTCCCTTCCGCAGTCCGGACATTTTCCTAGGTCGCGGATCCGCACGTCACCTAGCTCCAGATGAATGAGCCGTTCCACGCGGTGGACATGGGGCACTTTGCGTCCCGGGACAAGAGTTGCAGTACTGTCATCATTGCCGCGGCCATGTCGAGATGGCGATGGTTGCGGGGTGGAGGGTGTGTAAGGGTAGTATCGGATCAAGGTGAGATGGTGGCCGCATTGTCGGCTCCACTCATTGAGTCGTCGCTGCACATTGTTAGCACGCCCGATCTTTAGACGGAGCGTGCCGGGGCTGTCATGAGTTGGTGCAGATGCCAAGGCATTGAGATCGCGGGCGGTCCGAATTGCATCGCTTACGCGGCGGTCACGTCCTGGGGAGGATGTTGGCGGCATGAGGTTCGAGGCTACCTCTAAAGAAGGCGGCTCTTTGGACTCAGATGTCGACGGTGTCATCCAGAACATGTAAATGTAGCCAGGCTCATCGGCTTCCGAAATAGGCTTGGCCAATTCCGCGGTGAGGTTGGAGGTCGTCTCCGGCGCAAGGCCAGACGGAATCCAAGAGAGAATGTCGTCGTCGGTTCCTGAAGAGGAAGAGCCAGGTTTACTGGGTCGAACAGGAACCTGGTGAGGAGACAGGGATGGGGTCGGTGACGACAGCTTCCCAGCGGGAATTTGTTGCATCTCCGTTGGGGCATTGACCGGCCGCGACGGCCGGATGTCTTCCTCCTCGATGACCTCGAAGCAGCAGCATATCGTACGTCTGGTACGCTTCTTCGGTGCTGGTTTCCGCTGTCTGCGGCGCTTGTCTGAGGTACCTGCGTCGTTAAGATCCATCAACCCTAACCGCTCCATTAAAGTGTCGATACTGCCACGGGGCCTCAATCGCGAAGGGTTGGCCCCGCTGTTCGTCTGCGGAACCGACGCTGCCTGATCTTTGTGCTGCCAGCAGTACATCGCAGATAGGTCGGTCTGTTCTGTCTTTGAAGCCGGTGTATCTGATGGCGATGGAGACGCCAGAGCCCGGCGACATGGCCGCCCATTGGAGGTGACACCGCGACAAGTTGTGGCCGGATCAAGCGAGTCCGTGCGACCCAATACAGCTTCTGGAGTATTTGCAATAATAGGCATGGCGGGCGATTGTGCACCGCTTCAACAAGAGTATGTAGAATGGAGGAAGTGTGGGAAAGAACAGGCAAGAAAGAGCGCGGCAATATCACCAGGCATGTTTAAAAGCAGACCAGCGGCAGAATTCCGAGGTTGAAGGACTTTATTTGCCCATGGGCTAAGGAGCAGAGACCCACATCGCGTTATATTCATAGCCGATCAAGCTAAATTAGTAGCATCTGGCGAAAAATCGAGGCGACACCTGAAACCGATGCCCCATACGGAGTAAAGCGTCGTGCTGCCCCTTACTTCGTAGGGCCAAGCATGCACCGCCTCTGTGGCTGAGGAAGGCTGACTGCCAGGTCATCGTGTCTGCGCAACTTGCATCAGTTTCACGGCCATGGTCCTATGGGGCTTTCACACATACACATGAGCAGCGCTTGTTGTCGTTTCGGGTGGCGATTCACTGCATCATTCCCATTACAGCCTGCCTCACTTTGGACTTATATAATAATCATCATTTTTCTTTTTTTTTTTGGTCTTGTTTACTCTGGTTGATCCAATGCTAGCGACTTGACTGTATTCCTCCCTTGCCTGTCCACATACTGTTCCAAACTGGAGCCAGATAACGTTAATATCTACCCAACGTAGTCGAAACTCACTCCCCGACATTTGACCCAGAACGTGCGTATCAACTGACTAGTTGGCGCTCTGGCACCCCTTGCCGCTAGGAGTGACGCAAGGAAGCGTTGCCTGTCCTCGGGCGACGTAGACGCGCCTTGATGTTGATTGGAAGCGTCATTGCTACCTAGATCAGCCAGCGCTGCAGCGAGATGGGGGCGCGCAGCTCCTTGCTGTTTGAAGATGAGCTTTCGAAGCACCTCACAGAGATGTTCGAGGTCCGACCGCGCGCATCGCCCGGCCACCTGATTGATCAGGATACGACAAAGGGCTGGAAGACACTGCATGATGGCAGTTTGAATAGACCCACCGTCGTTTGGAAGCGTTAGCACATTCACCCAGAACTGCGAGGCAGAACGGAGCGGAAGTGGTTCAGGCCCTCGCAATGAAAGGAGAGTGAAATTCAAGACAGCTTCAAGGACTGACGGCCGTTGAAGCTCACCCCCATTGGATGAAGGAATTTGGCTGGCTTCTTGGGGCGGCGTCGTGAGTGCAAATAGGAAAGGGTGGTATTTGGGTAGTAAGCGTGTGAGGAAGTCGATCCCACTGTTGGCGACTTCGGGGTCATAGTACTCAGGTTTCTCATGCATCCAACAGAAAGTGTCATACACATGCACGATCAGCGCAACCGTTTCGTCACGGATTCGCTGACAGTGTGAGCTATGAGATGCAAGGAAAGATGAAGCCGTACCCATCACTATGTCGGTACCAACACTGCCTAGAGGTATGCTCTTGACAAAGTTGACAGTCACCATTGGTGGGAAGACATATGGTCCCGTACTTTCGATATAACCAGCTTTCAATATGTCGCATGCGGCTTCAATTATGGTTACATCGACAGGGAAATCGGTGATGAGCAGCTGCATGCATTGCATGATCAGGTTCTGAGACACGGCGCCACTGCCCGTATTCCAGAATGTGGGGGGGTAGGGGTCACCATCTCCATGGTCGTTCGACTCCAAATTCACCTCACCATCGGTTCTCAAACCCTTGCCAATACTTGCGACACAGCGCAGCACAAACTGGCCACGGGTCTGAGCCTGCTCCACTAAACCACCAACCGCCTCATCACGGGCCGCCTCTGCCTGCCCGTGGAAAAACCGGAGAATTCGTTCAATGACTTGTGACTTTGCTTCGTCCGTAGGCAAAGTCTGGATGATGGCGGCGATTCCTTCTAACACCTTTTCCATGGTATGAGTAGTGGCCGTGGGTTTGAAGCGGAAATGTTCGAATTGGTCAATGAAGGCTGGCAGTTCTGAGGTTAGCGCGTTGCGGCATGATTTACAAAGATATGCAATCGACTTGGATGCTGTTGGCGCACACGAGCTAACATCGAGAGATGCGAACAGAAAGGTAAGGACGCGAGGTAGCAAGGCATGTGTGCGTTCAAAGTACGACTGATACTTTCCCAGCATGTCCACCAAGGTCTGACGTGGTTTGTCTGGGATTAGCACTCCATTTCCTTCGCACAGGCGAGCGAATTCGTCACAGAAGAAGATCGAATTGAGACACTCGTCAGCGTGTTGGTTCTCATCGACAGCCTCCGAAAGCTGAGCAATGCAGAAAATCGCAGCCTCAAATGTGCGCCATTCCTGCTGTACCAGTGATATTCTTGCTCGTTCTTGGAAGACCCGGACAAGCTCCACCCCCAACATTGGGTAGATGGCTAGGAGGAAGTCGCACACATCACGCCGAAACGAACCGAACTCGCTGCGGTCATCATCACCCCAACCTTGCAGCTCTTCTGGGCTAGGAAACTTTAGTTTTTCAAAGCAGTCCAAAGCCGCTTCGGCCAAATTCCTTTTAGCAGGCTCAAGACTCGTTTGATCTTCCGAGTCCGAATATATATCCTGGAGGTCGTCGGCGACTTCTGTCCACCACTCAAGAACAAGCGGCGAGGCCGGATCGTCCACCGCTGCATAGCCAGGAGCCTTGAACAGCGTGTGTAGAAGAGTGAGCATTTTCGCATGCTGTGGGTCTAATTGTTTGGTCATGAGATCTCTCTGCTTCAACGTTGCGTAAGCCAATAGGAGATCCAAGAACGTCATATTCTCGTCCTCAAAATCCGCCTCAATAAGTGACGCGACGTGCGCAGCCCCCAAATCACTGACAACATACTCCATAATAGCAGTGAGATGATCCTGGGTAAAGATACTGTCACGCCAGTCTATCAGCTCGACCACAACCTGTGTTGCAGATTTTGCAAGTCCAGGTACTTTCATGCTCTGAATGATGTAAGCCGTCGTAGAGGCTAGGTCCAAGACAGACAACGAATCACGCAACTGGATTGCGCTCCGTACATTCATCCACGCCTGATATTGGGTCAGATACGAGGTGCAACTGAGAATCTAATATAGTTTGAGAAACGAAACCTACTTGATATGAATTGATAGCTTCAGTGCCCAGGGCCTCATCTGATACCGGAATCCCAGAGGCATGCTGCTGCATAATATGAGAAAGAACATAGTCAACGACAGCAAAGGCGTCCTTGACATTTACGTATGTATGGTGTTCCTCTCTGCTTCGTCGTGGTTCTGAACTCCATCTGTGAATCTCCTCGGCGAGGATATTGGAGAAGTAGAGCAATGAGGTTACATGCCGCTCGGACATAGCAGGAAGCACCGCACCCCGCAAATCAATGGACTTGCAGTGCTCTTCTGAGACGTGTTTCCCGTTTGCCAGTGATGCTGCCAGGTTACAGAGTGCTCTGGACCAGGGAGCGTTGGGTTTCAGGAATATGGTTGCGAGGCTTGAAGCCAACTTCCGTATGACCAAGGGCCGCTCGCCCCCATTAACGAGAAAGACATAATGATCTATCAGTCGCCCTAGAAGTTCCTGAGCCTCCTCAGGGCTTAGACTTTGCCTGGATGAGTCGTCTGTTAGCCACGGTCACTGGTGGAATTTGGGGCTCGTACGGAACGAACCAATCATGGTTAATCTTGACCGTGAACGTCAAAGCACCAAAGAACCTTAAGTCTGTGCTGGCCTCACTGAGAAGCTGATTGGCGATTAGCCATGCCTGGGGACTTTTTTGAAGACTCTGCAGGTGCTCTTGGATGGCTTTGATCTTGGCGGGGTTCCCAGTATTCCCCGGATCATAAAGTTGGGACACGAGCTAGAGATAACTATGCCTTAGTGATTATTCTCCTATATGGAGACATAAAGCAGCGAGCATACCGATTTGGCCTCATTGATGAGGACTTGCGCGTCTATGGCTTGGCCTGGGATGTCCACAGACATGGCCGAAACAATGAGGGCCTTGTTTAGGCTGGGGGAACTGTCACTGGCACAATATAGATTGGTGAGAGATGGTGAAAGGGGAGTCACGTGTTGATAATGCTATCACGAAAGTAGCAGGCGGTAAGCAAAAGAGGAAGGTGGGATGTGATGATGGGTTCAGAGTGAGACAGCAACAAGAGAAAGGAATACCAGAGCTAACTATAGTGGGCTGGTGTGAATAATAATGAGATCCAAGGTAATGGGGCAACAGTTTGATTCACACTGATGAATTGGGTTAGTACTAAATACTGTAGTCATTCACTAAGATAACTAGTTAGTTATCAACTGTGGTGTGGTGTCATAGCTTCACCACTACATTCGGCTGATCATACAGCGACTGAAAAATAAAAAATTAAAATACCGCAACAGACAAAGCTGCTCAGTTCTAGACGAGTAAGGTCAGCAACAGACCGAGCAACATGTAGGGATAGTCATCTCGAGTGGACTGGTTATGACTGACTCTTTGATATTTCAACTATTCCCTACTAGGTTTCCAGGTGTGTTGAGGCCTAATAACCCAGCTAGCTAGCTCGACCTATCACCGGGACCTATCTACCCGACCGGAATGGATGGCGAGATTAATGACGGTAATGAATGGTAACTTCCGTCTCCTTAGTACCAGCCGTGGCAATTATTATTACTGCTACTACGGTGCCAGTTGATTGTTGCCAGTAGTAACTCCGTCCCACCGCCCACCAAACCCGGAGCTCCAACGGACAGCTCTTGGGAAATACCCACTTCCGCGTTTCTCCCACGTCTCAATGCTCGGCTACTGCTGCTGCTAGTCTACTTTGTACTGCTATTGTGCTTATCGTTCTTCTAAGTCGTCGCTTTCTCCACGCCAAATCTTTTCCAGCTTCAATTTTACCTGCGCACACGACCTCCCTGTTGGAAATTCCAGCTATAACTAGCTTGGTGCCCCTCCCCACCTTTCCTCCGCCTTGCCCCCCTCCTCCGTCCCCCTCTACCTTGGCCCTTGCTTGCTCCGTGCAACCTTGAGAGCTGTGTTCTTGGAGTCTTTGGAACCAAGGCCACCTTCTGCTCGGAAACCTGCAGCTTCTTCTTGCACATCCTTGCCAGTCGATGCTCTTTTCTCACCCTCCAATTCGCCTTGCTTGGACTTCAGCTTTCCAATCGGCTCGCAAGTTACCCCTACCCCGTTCAAGGCTCTTCTCCAGCTCCGCCCCGCGCTTCATCATCGATATGGAGACTGTGGACACGTCAGAACGTCTGGCCAGGTTAAGGCAGTTGATGCAGGAGCGTAAGGTGGACGTTTACAGTATGGCATCAATGAACCCTGTTCACTGTTCTTCTTCGTTGGAAATCATATACTCACTGAAGCC